TGGAGAATATCCAACCTTCATATAAGTTTCTGGCAAACTCTGAAATATCTGAGTTGCCTGAGTCATTCCAGCCTATTTAATGGAGAGGAAACCCAAACAGGCTCTGTGTTTATTTTGCAGTTAATTTCCTATTAACGGCAGTTCTACACAGCCAGAGCTGGGCAGTGAATTCACTTGAACTCAAGAGGGAAATCCCCTTTCCAGCCTCAGCAGCTCCCTGTGATCCCATGTAAAACCTCAAGAATTTCCAAAAGAATTTATTCCTGGGTATAGCAGACCAAGGGCAAGCAGTTCAAATAAATCCACCCTGGATTTTGTGCCAAACCAACCATTATAGCTAATCTTGCAGAATAATTATTTCTGGACAATCATATTCAACACTACAAGAGGTTTGTGGGGAAGTTACAAAATAAAATTAAAAGTTCCCATGTTGACCCTAACTTCAGTATGTCACTGTGCCACCTCAGATACCCAACTATAGCAGCATAATTTAAATATGTGGGACAAGGACTAAAGGGATTCCTTTAGAGTGGTGCTGGAAGGGTTTTAAGGCTGATGGTGGTTGAAGTCCATTCCCAGAGAAATGTGTGCACTAAATCACCAGGAATCCCAATAAAGAGAAGCTGACCTGGATTTGAAGTTGAACTACATCTGTCCAGTGAGATTTCTGGGAAGTGCTTCAAGAAATAACAAGTCTGGCAATGCAGAGGAGAACTGGGCTGCACTGGAATTCTGAACTGGGTTGACTGGGACCACAACCTGCTGCCTGTAGAAGGGCTGGGGCTGCACAGGAGCAGCAAGGACAAGAAGGAAAAATCTTGTTCTCACCTAGCAGAAGCTTGTGAAGAGGCAGTTTTTACATCCAAACCTGTGAAATGCTCAACTCCTGGTTGATTTTTATCTTCCCTAAACACTGAGATTTTGAGGCCCCATCATGAGCAGCAGCAGCCTCCATAAATATTGTTAGAATGGAGTCAAAGAGATATTGGAGTGCGAGTGGCAAAGTATTTTCCCTGCAGGCATTTTGGCAGCCAGAACTCACTTTTCCCATCCCTACACCCCAACAGGGCTTTGCTAAATAGATTTTCAGTGAACTGAAAAGCTCTCTTTTCCTGAAACTTGCTGCATCTTTTACCCAGTGAAGATTAAGGGGGGTGATGAGAGTTGTTTCCTGGCTTATTTCTGTGTTGCTTTATATTTATTAATAAACACTGCGGGATGTGACTACAGAGAGCCGATAGTGAATGTGTGGGATGAGATGGTATGCTTTTCATTTAAAATAAAATCACTTAAAATGTTGATCATTAGGTGTTAAAACACTGACCCCAAACTTCCCTTAGTCAAACCTTTTCTTGCAGTTAAAGGGATTAATTCAGCATGTTAAAAAACAAAATACTAATTTTTTAGGGGCAAAATGATCCTGAGAACCAAACTAAGATAACTTTGCTGTACTTCCATGTGTTTTACATGAGGACACTTTAATTAAATTTATTGTGGCTTGCTCTAAACTAGTGAATTCACATCATTCCCTTAATGTTTTGTATTCTCTGTGCAGGATGAAAAGTAATTCCATTTCAGTTGCATTATAATTTAGCAGGTTTTAACAGACACAGGGAGAGAGCTGAAGTTTTTCCATCTCCTAGATTGGGGTTTTAAATCACAGCCAGCTGCTGACTCGCACAAGGGGAGGGAGGTGGGTGCCACAATCCATAGCCCAATTCTGTGTGCAGTTTAATTTGGGAATCTGGGCCTAAGTACCTACTTGTCATGCACAGATGGAGGCTGGGAGGTCACCAGGGCCAGTGAGGCAGTGGCTGCTTCTATAACTCAAGTGAATTTATAGCACTTGAGCATTTTTCTTTGTCATGTTTTAATCTATGTGCTCCTCAAAATGAGATTATGTCATGGAGAAAAATCCAATAACCCTGACAAAACCTGAAACAAAGGGGGATAGATGGGACAAGAAAAATATTTCTAGAGGGTTTAGGGAGTTTAGGGTTTAGAGCTTTAGGGAGTGTGGTCAAGGTGTGGGAGGCTTGTTTTTAAGGCAGAGACTTGAGAGTGGTTTTAGTGGGTGAAGGGAAAGGGTGAGGAAGTCCAAGTGAAAGAGGGCAAATTGATATTAATGAATAAATTAAATGGGGTGGGGTTGCAATTTGCTTTTCTATCCAGAATGAGGGAGAAAACAGCCAGTGGGAAACAGTGGAAAATGAGCCTTGGAGTGGCCAGGGGGAGAGACAGAAGAGGCAGGATGGGAGGAGGTGCCAAAGCACCAAATGAGGTGGTGCAGGGATGGAGATGTGGATCTGCTGAGCCAGGACATGAGGGGGAGAAGGAGAATTTGGTGGTGGGTCCCAGCACTGCTCCAGACCAGGGGTGGTTTCATGTATTTCATGAAGATTAGAAATAAATAAATAAACCTCCTGTGAGGGCTCCTCTCTCTGCCAGCAAAGAAAACAAAGCCTGTGCTGGAGCACCAGCAACAACACATGGAACATGGGAATTACAATGGGCATTACATCAGAGCCCAGAGACTGCAGGGGATGAATCAGAGCAGCATCTGCAGCCACTGGAAACTTGCACTGATTTGGCTCAGAGGGGAAAACAACCTGTGGGATAGCATTCAGTATGAGCCAGCAAATCTTCAAAATGTTAGGGAGGCTCTTGGAAACCCCAAATAAAAATATAACGCTGAAAACACTGACTTATTAAAAAAGTAATACATGTACCTGTTAAGACTGATGAAAAATAAAGCAGTTTTGTTTGGTCTTATGTATTACTATTAGCTCTCCTAATGTTTCAATGTGGTAAAATGAAATCAAAACTGATTTTATAGGACAGAGGAGTAAATCGACTCCATAACTGCCATAATTCAAATTAAGACAACTGCCCAGAGGCATAAAAAGGTATTGTGAAAGGGGAAAAAGCCCCCCGAAAGCTTCTAAATTAAGCTAATTCTGCTCATTTCAGGTTTGAGACCTGTATCTAACATTTTAAGGTCAAGTTCCTAAGCGCAGGTTAGAAAATTTGCATCTCTGGGGTGTTTTCTTTAAATTTTGATTGCTCATGGAAGGGCTGGGTCAGTACAACAGAGGATGATTTCAATATGCACCTGCAGCCCTTAATTTAAAATACTAGTCCAGGCTTTAAAAAGACAGACCTAATGGAAAATTAGACTTAATTGCACCAAGATCAGACTTTCTTGCTTTTCTCCCAGGGCAGAGAATGAGCAGAACCAGTTCTGTAAAAGCAGTGACTCATTTCTAATCCAAATTTCCCCTTTCCGTGCTCCTGGGTTTGGGTCAGTTGCCCGCAATGGGCCATTGCAGGATCTGTGGCTGCCCACGCTGCAGAGAACAGTGGTTTTGTGCACACAAAGTTCATGGAGCCATTTGGAATAAACTTAAAAGGTCCTAAACACAGAGATTGTCTTGTTTAAGAAATATCTACTCAGCTACCAGATCAAAAAGCTTCCCAAGTGTGTGAAAAAATTTAAATTATAGCTCCAGTTAGGGCCCTGTGAGGCAGAAGAAGCCCTTTTTGGGGGCATTTCCTCATCCTCGACAGATATTAATAGCTCGTGCCTCAGCTTTTAAGTGAAATTCTGGTGAAACCTGCTGGTTTTGACACTATTTTAGGTAATTGTAGTACCAGGGGCTGCCAGATCGGGCTGACGGCGTGTGGAGCATGGCGGCCTGGAGCTCAGGAGAGCTGTGGGGAGGTCACCTCATTATCCAGAGAGGAGAGGGGATGGACGTCCTGTCCTGGAAAATTTGGGAATGGGGGATGGGTTGTGGGGGAATCGCCCCTCGGCCCTCCCCGCCGCCAGGGGGCGCCCCGTGCTGCCCCGCCCCGCCAGCAGGGGGCGCTGCCCGCGGCCCCCACATCGCCTCCACAGCAGGGGGCGGAGCACCGCGATGAAAGCCGCGTCCTGATTGGCGGAGATATCTCCGGCGGGGATGAGAGCGGCGCCCTGATTGGCCGTGCGCAGCCGCAGGGGGGAGCGAAAGCGCGGGCCGGGGTCCCGTCCCGTCCCCTCCCCGCGGGCCCCGGTCCTCTACTCCCCTGTACCTGTACCTGTACCTGTACCTGTACCTGTACCTGTACCTGTACCCCCACCCCTCCACCCCTACCCCCAGCCCCCTGACCTGGGTACTCCGAGCCCTCCCTGGAGCAGTTTTGTGCCCCATCGTGGCGGGCGGAGACGCTTCAGCCAATCAGCGCGCGGCGCCACGGCCTGTTGCCAGGCAGATTATGCTAATGAGGCCCGGGCGGCCGCCCCCCCTCCCGCTCTGCAGCTACCATTGTGAGGTGAGGACAGGTGGGGGGGTTCGGGGCCGCCGCGGGGCCGGCGGCGGCGGCCGGGGCACGGCGCCCGCACGGGACCCCCTCAGGTAACGCGATGGGACGGTCCGGGAGGGCAGCGCGGCCCAGGGACGCCGCGGGGACTCGCCGGGGGTTTTGGACTTGTTGTTTTAGTCGCACCCAAGATGGCGCCCGGAGCTGGCGGTGCGGGGCCGGGATAAACCGTTGGCTCCCGCCAGTGGGGGGGGGGGCACGGCGCACTCATTCCCCCTCCCCCCCCCCCCCCCCCGGGGGGGGACCGGCCCCCCCCCCCCCCCCCCGGGGGGGGGGGGGCGCCCGCCCCCTTTTTTTCCCCCCCCCCCCCCGGCACTGCGGGGGTCTCATCCCTCCACCACTGCTCTGGGCCGCTCGCTCTGCGGTTAGCACGGCTCCCCTGCCCTGCGCTGCCGGCCCGTGCCCCCCGCGCTGCCCGTGCTCTGGCCAGCGGCCCGCGTCCCCCCCGGGCCCGCAGTGGTCGGGACCGGCTGACCGCCGGGCGCCCTCCCGGGGGGCCGATGGCGGAGGCCCTCAGGCGGGGCCGGGGGGGGGG